AATTCATCATTATTATTTATATCTTATTCACATATTGAGACTTCAAATCTCTCCTTACACTTGAGATAAAAAACATGGATGAACCTACAGAAGTCCTGAACTCTGGTAAGCAGCCAAGTTAAAATCCTACACACTTTTCCTACATCTTTGCGATTACTGTGTTACTGATACCAACACAGACAATAATTACCATTTGTTCACCTACCTTCCTGAATAGACATCTTCTCATGTTTGTTACTTTTGTGCCTAGCATAAAAGTTACCATTGCAGTCCTACTGGATGTCAAAAAATCCTATGTACCTATGTATCACTTTATTTCCCCTTACTACCACCTGCCTATTCATACTTGTGGCCACCCCTCTGCTTTACTTTCAGTACAACACACTGACCTCAGCTGGAGTGTGAATCTCATTCAAAAGCCTCCTTGTCAGTGGAGTGTTCTCCACCTTTAAAACTTGGTCTTTATCTGTAGCACGGGGACTGCAGCAACAGAGATGAGGCTATCCTGCAGTTTTTCTGTTAGCCACCTGAAAAAATATTTGTTCCCTAATATGCTTAATTCAGCAGATCCCAACTAAAGAACACGTACCTCTTCACTTGGTACTGGTAGATCCTTGTATTGTGTTGACAAATACAAAATCTGCTCCTTGGATCAGACATTATACATGCTGCACTTTGCAACAAACTGGTTAAGGCCTGCTCCGCTGGGGGTCTCCTGCTGCCTTCTGATTTTTTTAGAATTTCTTTTAAAATCTTTGTGAACTAGTACTTTTGACTTTCTTTTCTTGATGGGTTGATTATGGTTATTCCTTTAAGATAACCACCTATAGGTGAGAGACACTCAAAAGCATAAAAAGAAAACAAGGTTCAAGAAGGTCATCAAATATATTTCTCCTTGGACTGTAACAAGGATAGATGCTAAAAAACCTACAGACTTTGTTCTCTTCCTTACATCTTGGGAGATTGGCTTTATGGGCTTTAACTAACCTTAGCCAGGTACCCTGACGGAACAAGTTTCACATTAAAGACTTGAGAAGCAAACTTGCACCCTCTGTTGAATATTTATGAGAAATCTGCTGACCAAGATAACCATAGCATACATATCTCATGATGTTCACATTGATTTTCTGTATTTAGATACTAGAGAAAAACAAATAAGTCAACTGAAAAGCACTGGTTATTAACTCATATCAGTTTAGATATATACATGTGCCCAGAAAGTTACTGAAGCAGGTTCTAACTACCTCAGTAATCAGATCACGTGGAATGCGCCTCCAACACCTTTGTCCTGGGCCTGATCCAGAGCTTTAACATGTAAGCATCTCTACCTGCTGCTGTAGTGTGCAAATTCTCAAGCAGCCATGAACAGTACCTCAGCTGGAGACGGCAACTGACAACACAGTAGCAATAAGAAACAGTTTGTTCAGTCATCCATTAGTTGTATCTGACTGGGTGAACACTTGTCTACTCCAGCAGCCATTTACTTACAATTCATTGAAAGCATCTGTAGCAGTGGATTTTATGTAAAAGGAGTGGCTGCAAACTATAGCAGAGAGACTAATCAAGAAGCTACTCTTGCTCAGATGCTTCTTGTTGCACTCAGAAATCCATTTCCACCTCACAATCCAATGTTTTACATGGCACACCATGCTGAATGAGACATCGAGCACATTAGGTGGGACAGACTTCTAGGATTTTAAGGTTTTCCAAAGAATGAAAGTTAATACAGCCTAGACTTGCTGGCTTAGCAGTACAGCTAGGTAGTGATTTAACCATACAGACATGAACACAGGAAATTCAATAACTAATACAAATCAGTCCCTGTAGTTTTCTTTCAAGAAAAAGGCAAATAGAGCTTTAACTTCCAGAACTCCACAGGTTAAGTTGCCCTGTTATTTCCAAAAGGTAGCTTTAAGTAGAATGGTTCGGTAATCTAGAAGAAAGTTTACAAAGTGTGAGGCAGATATGAAGTCTGTGACCTGATTCCACTCAGCTCTCATGAGACCCCACCTGGAGTACCATGTCCAGCTTTGGGGTCACCAGCACAGGAAGGATATGGACCTGTTGGAGTGAGTCCAGAGCAGGGCCACCAAGATGATTAGAGGAATGGAGCACCTCTCTTACAAGAACAGGCTGAAAGAATTGGATTTGTTCAGCCTGAAAAAGAGAAGGCTTTGGGGTGACCTAATTATGACATTTCAGTACCTGAAGGGAGCCTACAAAAAAGATGGAGGGGGACTTTTTACAAGAGCATAAAGTGACAGGGCAAGGGAGAATGGCTTTAAACACAAAGAGAGTAGGTTTTGATTAGACATTAGGAAAAAAATCTTTCCTGTGAGGATGGTGAGGCACTGGAACAGGTTTCCCAGAGAAGTTGTGAATGTCCCATCCATGGAAGTGTTCAAGACCAGGCTGGAGGGGCTCTGAGCAACCTGGTCTAACGAAAGGTGACCCTGCCCATAGTGGAGAGGTTGGAACTAGATGATCTTTAAGGTCTCTTCCAACCCAAACTATTCTGTGATTCTCCACAGAAAGTTTGTGAAGGAGTTGGCTAAAATAGAAGTACGGTAGAGAGAGAAAGGGGAATTAACTAATATGTAAGATTTTGAAGTTAATTCATGAGCTGGAAACAAATCTACTTTCTACTCTGTTCTTCTACTCTCCATCTTATTTCATTGCTTTGGTAACAAAAAAAAAAAGAAAAAGAAAAAGAAAAATCCCACCAAAGTTTTATTAAAATTATCTGACCCAACTATGTTAAAACAGTTCTACTCTAAAAGCTTGGCTTCAGTAGTAAAAAGTTTTTATCAAGCCAACAGATTTGACAGTTCTTCTATTAACCTACATTAAAAAAAATAAAATTGAAAGGTTTCATTTTGAGAACAATGTCTTTGAAAAGAGGTATATTTGAACAAACAAGCAAAAAAGTACTGATCATTGCAGTTCTGTCACTACTTACAGGAAAATGAGAAGCCTGGCTGCAGTGGAATCAATAACAAGTAGCCAATACAAACCCAATAATTTTTAAGTAGCCAAGTAGTACACAGATACTTTTAAACATTCTCTCTTTTGTGGGTCAGTTTCATGATGTCTGTCTATCATGAGCAGCCACTGCTGGGACATACAGAGAAGGATCTAATTTTTTAACAGCCTGAGGGCTCTACAACTTCTATGGAAAAAAAAAAAAAAACAAAAACAAAACTTAAAAACTGATTATGTACTCCCTTTTCTGCTTTGTTCCAAGAGATCTGACTAGTTACCATGTACCCTGACTTAAAAAGAATAGACACTAAGTTTTGCTTTAATAACTAGATCCTATTGCAGAAACTCTTATAAGGTAAATCAGGACTTGTCATAACTGTGGAACACTTAGCTGCAGAATATCAGGAATAACCTGTACAGCATCTCCATTTAAAACTCTATGAAGATGGCTTTGTAGCACTAAAAATTGAGTACTATAGTAGATATTAAACTAGCAATCTTCTGCACAAAGTAACAAATTCATACAAACAGTCTGATGTTTTTTCGTGTTCCCGATTCTTTTCTCATTACCATCTCACTATTTGCTACTCCTTCCCAACATTTGTTTGTACTTGTAGACTATTAACAAAGCCAGTAAAGTGAAAGCCCCCTCTTCCACTCTATCATAGTCCTAGTCCTTGTCCCATTGACAGTAGTTTGTTTTTCTGAGCCTTACTCACCTCAGAAAAATATTAACCAACTCATTAACTCGATTTTCTTTGTTGCCAGGATCCAGAAACTACTGTACACCCACCTTTTACCTTTCTTCCAGTTCATATTTATTACTTTTTCTTTTCCCCATGAAAAGCTGTTGCAACTTGCAACAATTCTTATCATACCTCTTTGCCTTCCTCTGCTGTGCTTTTCTGTTCTAGGGCTAGCTCTTGTCTCCCATAGTTTTTTCCACTAGAAAACAGAACAGCAGTTGCTATGATATTTTTGTTAGACATCAAACAGCACCTGCAAATGTCATCTTTTTAGCTCATTTAAGTTTTGTAAGTAGAAACAGAAAAATGTCAACATGGTTATGGAAAACTTGTGCTATTGGCAAAAAGACATCTCTGATATGAGTCCACATATTCATCTTGTTGCTCTATGAATTCTTTTAATTATGGGATAATTAGCACACTTGTGTTTTTTCCTTCTTTTTAAGGAGGACAAAGAAATACATTTTATAATGAAAAGAATTTGGATTTTGTTTAATTAAAGTGTCGCTATAACTATTGCCTGGAACATTAAAACCTTTCTCAGAATTTAAAAAAAATTAAGATCAGAACATCTTGAAAATACAGTTTCTCCTCTAATATGTTTCAAAACCGATGAGAGGTGAAACAAAACTTTTGAAAGAAGACAAAACAATAGCTGCTCTAGGTCTTTAACATTTTACCTGCAGACTGAAAGCCTGCGGAAACAAGCTTGTAACAAATGCAGGGAATGCAATTTTCACTGGAGAGGAAGAGTAAGCTACTAAAAAGTATGAGATTTGCCAGTGGTACACAGGTTCCTGCTAGATTCCCTTTCAGGGGATAACTAATTCAAACCTCATCCTAAAATGAAATGCCCTATCTGAACTGGGAAGAGAGGAGAGGACTAAAGAATGTGTCGAGGGGTAAAAAAAAATGACTAGGTAAAAAAAAAAAGTGACTCTCTAGTAGCTAGGGTTAAGTTGTTTTGGTTTTTTTAATTATTTGTTAGTGAGTTTGTTTGGTTAATTTTTTTCATTACATGGGTTTTTGTTTGTTTTTTTTTTTTTTGTTTTGTTTTTGTTTTGGGGGTGTCATGGTTTCAGCTGCCCTTCCACCTCCTCCCAGGTTCGTGGGGGCCCTGAGTTAGAATTAAAGTTGATTGGTCCCAGGACAATCTTCCCTCAGGAACCCATCAGCGCTGATTTTGTTCGCTCCTGTCCAAATTAGATATACACAGCTTGCCGGAAGTGAGCTGGCAGAGTTGGCATAGTTGGCAGTCAGTCTGCTGTTGTGTCTGAGCGTGTGTGTGAGAGGGCCTAGGGGTGGCAGGGCCCCCTTCCCTCCCCCGGGAAGAGGGGCCGCCCTGGGCCCCACAGCTCTGGCCAAGCTAGGGCTGAAGGCAGCATGTAGGAGTGAGTGTGTGTTGTGAGGGAAGAGGCTCACAACAGCTGAGGTAAGAGGAAGGGAGGCAGGCCTTCAGCCAAGCCCTCTTCCCCCCCCCAGACAGACTGTAGAGCTCGGGACAGCTCATAACCGGACCGAATGCCGGCAGCTAGCTAGGGGGCTTTCTTTTCCCCCACTGTGGGTGGGGGGGTGGATTTTAAGGTTCAATCTTTTAAGATGAGCCAGGGAGACGGGCTGAAACAAAAGCTCGGTGCCAGGAGAAGAAAAAACTCCAGGCGAAATTGGAGATGGGCCAGGTAGGCTTGGAGGTGCTCTGCATTGGCTTTTGAATGTAGACTGCCGAAATTGAGAGCTGCAGCAGCTAGAGAAGAGTGAGAGAGCCAACTAGCAACAAGTGAGTTCCAGGTAAAGACTCAGAACAGCATCTTACCCTGGGAGGAAACCTCCATGAACCAAGGAGGAAGGACTCAGAGCTATCTCTTTGGACCTCGTGAGGAAGAGGAGGCTTCAGCACAGAGCTGAGACTGGTGGTGGGGGTGGTTCAGAGAAACCCTTTTCCCTGATACCCCAATGAGAGAAAGACTGTTTACCTATCAGCCTGAGAGCTTCTCCTGAACTGATTGTGGGAGGGGCTTGGAGGGATGATAGAAGTGCATTAAGATTGTATATATATAGTTGCTTTTAGTTTGTACAATATTTATTTTTATGGGAATAAATGTATATATTTCCCTTCCCCCATACGGAGGTGTGCCTGCCTGGAAATTTCTCTTTGAAGGTGTTGAGGTAAATTGGGGGAAAGTGGGGAGAAGCTTGGAGATCTGATTTTTGTGGGGGTAAAGCCCCCACAGGAGGGTGTTTTTTGTTTGTTTTTTTAAGCAGCAATGGTGGACTTGTGTCAGTGACACAGCTAGAAGCCAAAAATCTCCCCATGTCAAGACTCCTTGTTCCCTTTCTGGCCAGCAGACACTGCATGTTCACTAAAGCGTAACGTGCACCAGTGCTTAAAGCCATAATCTATTGATATAAAATATCAAATTAAAAAAGACAGTAATGCTCCCATTTGCCTGCAAACAAATCTAACCCTACACAGCATGTTTGTTTCAAGAGAATACTATATCCTAAGTAAATTCTTGCAAAGATATAATTATGTAAAATGCCTCAATACATTTCAAGTTAGTGCTTATTATTTTATCTTAATCTTAAGTAGTACTATAATTAAAATTTCATTATCAGCTATCAATTGACTCATCCCTGAACATTTTGTAATAATTAAAGCACATCCACTCTCCTCCATTTTTCCCCTTCTCTTGAGTTTCATAAACATGCTATGTGCCTATTTATAACTGAAATACCTAATGGGAGTAGTTAAAACTTGAACAAATCAAACATTAGCAAAAAATACAAAACAGCAATCAAAAAAAGCAACCAGCCAACCTCCCCTCTACCCCTTTTAATATAGTTTCCTTTTAAACTCAATAGCAAAGCTGGGACACATACAGGAAATCAATCAATTTGTTACTGCCTATTTGCTGGGATTCATTAGCAGGCAAAAGAAAAAATAGCAGCAGGTATGGGATATGCAATTGCTGCCTGAATCTCTAACCAGAGCAATTTGAGCTGACAAAGAAAAATCAGATTCTAGCTGGGTTTCCCTATTGGTTTTCTATTTTTGCCTAGTTAACTTTAATAGTAGCTAACCAATAGGAAAACAAAACAGCAGGAGGGGGGCATTACTGTGAGTCAGATCAATCTCCACTGAAATGGTAGCCACTACCTGCCCCATTCCCAGGCACCACAATGCTCAGGGACTGAAGAAAAAACAAAAAACAAACAAACAAAAAAAACCAACCAAACAAAAACAAAAACAAACAAAAACCCCAAACAAACAAACAAACAAAAACAAACAAAAAACCCCAAAAAAACCCCCATCAACAAAGTTAAAAATCCAATCCAAGCTGTACAACACATCCAAAAGATTAGTCATGTCTAATCTCTTCTGTTGCTGAAGCATGAGTACTATCCTGCTATCAAAGTAACTTTCATAAGCATGAGTTCTGATTATTTTAAGTTTCATCCTCTAAAAATAAAAACTTCAACCCAGCCTCAGGTTGTTAAATCTCTTAAAATAACTGAAGAATCCTGAAAAACTTTCAAACAGAGGAATCTGAGTGCACTTCATGATTCAATCAGCTTCCTCAATGACTTCTGTATAGATGAAGTCTCCTGTGGCTTTTGTTTAAAATCTGGTGTAACAAGTATCCATTTCTGAGCATGAGATTGGTGTTCAAAGTTGAGACTTTATTGAGCAGAGAAAGAGAAAAAAGCAAAAAGAAAAAGCATCCCCCCCTCAGAATTATCATCTTAACACACAGAATAGTTGGTCATTTAATTTGGGATTAGCAGTGATAAAAACCAACCAACCAACAACAACAAAAGCAACACAAAAGCAACTGTTCTCTTAAAAGAAAGAAAAATCCAAGTGGGTGCATAAAAGGAAAAAAAGAATCAGAATTAAGAACTATTTAAAACTTGTAGAGACTGACTCAAAAACATATCCTAGCAAAAAACTGCTCAAAAATTCATGGTTACATTGACACAGGGGATATTCAAATTACTGATGTGGGAGAGGCTTTTGAGATGCAATGAAGCTATTTTCTCTGATCCAGGAAAGGGAAAGGTCTTGGCTAGAAGAAACTGAGACAACATACACCAAATATTCTACTTTGCTATCCAGCAAACAACAGCTGACATTTTTTGTTCCAAGCTCTCCTGTTTCTTTTGCACACACAAGTACAAACAATGATGGATTATATGTTATTTAGAATTAAACTCAGCATTTGGATTCAGACTAAGATTCTTTTCTTCCTTGCCTGTAAGCATATATAATATTGTGAATGGTACAGAACAAGTGACTATGAGTCAACTTATAGCAATAGATTATTTCTTCGATATAATAACTTCTGGCAACTCCTTATTTCAACTCTGCATTTCTGTTGATTTGTTCTTTTTGCATAAAATAATTTGCTTCACTAGTCTCTTGTTTGGATGTCTAGGAGGGATAGCTGAGCTAAAGTTGTTATTGATTTGAATTTAAGTTTAGAAAACTTCACAGAATGAGTGGGAAGGAGTGCAGCTTCTTAGATGAGAAGACATAAAAAAGAAACCAGTAATTCTTTATATACACCCATCCTTGGATACTGTTTTATTTCGTCTGTAGTAAAGACTAAATGACACTGGACAGGTAGTATCAGTTAAAAATCTTCACTGAAACAATCTGCTCATTATTTCTGTTTGGTTTAATTCAGGTAGAGACTAGTTATTGTGTTACCTTTGGCTTCTACAAGTAGTTTCATTACAGTGACTATATCTGCCTTTCTCTGTTTCCAATAAATGCAGCCAGCATGCTATCTGTCCTCTTAATGAGGTTCAGTAGACAATATTTGTATCCCATTTTCAGTTGGTTTTTAGCTGTGTTAATGTTTCCATCGTTCTGGTGAAATTTTCCATGTTGGCAACGTGCCTCATATAAGCTATTTTAGGCAACTTACACCAAAAATCAGTCAGTCATGTCTAAAACTGAAAATGGGTGCTATTTTTTTCCTCATTTAGAAATAACAAGTCTGTTGAAGTGTGCAGCTTATAGTCTTTAGCATCTCTGCACATCTGTGCAGAAAATAAAAATCTGTCCAATGGAAAAATAAAGAGAGCCCAACAACACTAGTTCTGATATTATCATAGATTGTATCATAATGTATACACATAACAAGAGACAATTATCATTATTTTCATAATGAAGCATCACTTTTTAGATTTTTCTGGCCTTTTACTGCTTGGCTTAGCAACTTTACTCTTATTTAGCATACTGGTTTTTTTCTAGTGATTACCCCTTGCTGCAAAAATATTAGGCTTTTGAGTTGGCTTGATTTGGACTTGAAATTGTGAAAAAAAGTAGCAGGGTTAATCTCAGAGTAATTCATTTATTTACAGACATATACCCCAAATCTCCTTTCTCTCAACAGCAGTATGAACATGCAGAATGAATGTACTCACAAGGATCCCAAACCAACTTTTTTGTCCTCAGCTAGATACAAAGTTTTCTGCCTCTTGATCTCTGTTCCTTTAAATCAAACAAACAAATCCATAATCCTCCATATTTTTCAGCTTCCATATAGTTTATTAGACTGAAAATCACTCTCTAGTCACTTCATGCTATACATACAACCAATTCCTGAAAGTGGAAGCTCATAATATTTGTAAATCTTATGAAAGTAAGATCTACTTTTTCTTTTTAAAAAAGGAGTTTTATTCAAGTAATTTAAAAACAAGCTTGTAATTTTAAAGTGTTTAGGTGAAAATGAGTGGATTTTCTCTGTATAAACAAAGAGTCTGCTTTGAAAATAGGGTATCTTAAGATGTCTCAGGCTAAGCCTTGAAATTAACCTATTATTTTTCAAAAACTTGTCAGCATATAATAGCTGTCAGAGTCTTTATTACAGCATTAATGTCAACACAGTTTTGAAAATTTAGAATGCAGTGAGTTGGAAGACCCAGAAAGATTCATTATAAATCTAGAGAGGTTTCTCAGGCATCATGTGCCCTTACCTTTTTGGGAAGCTTACATGAAGATTAACAAAAAAATATGGTTTTCCATGTCAGATGACAGAAGGGAGTAGAATAATGGTTAAAGTGAGCACTAGATGTATTTTTGAAAGGGAAGGTGATAACTGAATAGTACTTCAGGAAACAGAAGCAAGAGACTTAGCAACAAGTTAGTTGGCCAAATTCATCTCTCTCCTCTGCCCAAAGAATAAAATGGGCAATAACACTTAAGTACTTGAATGATTCTAGTTTCCCTGATAAATCAGATATCTAGACAAATACCCAGTTAAATGATTCATGGAGTAAAATACATCTCTTTTTTTCCTATTGCTCTCATATTTTATTTTGTGGTCTCAGTAACATTTTCAGGTGTGTAGTTACTGCAGAAGGATTACTCATTTGATCTAAAGTCATAACTGAGAACTCATCACTGGGAACCAAGGCCAGGAA